TTTAACCAGGGATTGAACTCAGGCCCTTGTGCTTGCCAGGGAAGCACTTATTCTACTGAGCCATATCCCCGGCCCCTGTCAAATGATTATTCTTTAATGGCAGCAAGAATCCTAAAAGGCCCCACTTCTGCCATCACTCTTACCTACTGGATAATCCTGCCAACAGCCTGTGCTCTGGCTTCCTGGAGGCTCACTCAGTGACCTTGTCCTCCTCCCCCTTGACGACCAGGCTGGTGATTGGTGCCCTCAGCCTTAACCCAGCTGCAGCTCTGCCTGGAGCAACACCCACACCACCTCCCTGTCTGTTTCTAGTTTCTGTCCTATCTGAACTCCATGAGGCCTCCAGCATGTAGAATCCATGTGTGTTTTCCAGTCCCTGGTGCTCAATACTAATTTTATATTTTTCATTCATGAAATTGAAGCTAGAGCATTTGCTCTGAGCTACATCTCCAAACCTTTGTCAATTCTGTAAAATTTAAAATGGAGTTTCACTAAGGCACTGAATTTGTATAGGCTGGGCTCAAGCTTGTCTTCTTGCTGTTTCAGCCTTGAGGTGTAGTCTGGACTGATGGGTGTGCACCACCCTGCCCAGCATGCCTGATCTGCCTCCCTCATTGGTTTCAGTCTGACACCTCATGATAAGAATTCACTCCCTGCACATTTCACTCTCCATCCTCCTGTCTGTCAAACCACCATCCTGGAATCCCCAGGCCCCCACCCTGTAGCCCTGAGATCTGCCTGCACACAGGTAATTGGGGCTGGAGCTAGACAGGAAGAGCCAACAGACCTTCATGCCTCCCCTAAAAAGTCTGTTGACATCACCTGAGCCCCTGGCCTGTCCCTCTCCAAGTCTCCTCCCACAGGCCACAGGCCCTGCACTCACCACGGCCACTGCCTGGGACTGCAGCAGTTCTGTTGGGGTCATCACAGTGAAGTATGAGACATTCATGAGGATGTAGCACATGGTCACCAGCGGGATCCCGATGATGATAGCCAGGGGCAGGTTTCTGTGAGCAACAATGACAGGTCATCCCAGAGGGTCTGTGTCCTCCTCTTCTACCCTCCCTCCCACTCAGCCCCTTTTCAGTGTGGTGATCCAGGCTACAAATGCCCTTCCTGAGGCTACCTTGGCTGTGATATGGCAGAGCACAGCAGGTTCCAGAGATTTGCCAGTGAAAAGATTCACTCCCATACCATGGGGTGGTAAAATCCAGTTATTTAAAGCAGAGGAAGTCAGAGGGAAATAAAGTCACAGCTCTTCATTCCCCAGCCCAGCATACCCTAAGTGAGGGTGGGTGATGAGCTTAGGAAGAGCCAGTCTCCCCCACGGCAGAGCACTCTCCTTGTGTACAGGAGGCCCTGGGTGGAAGAAGGAGAATTCACTGGCTGGAATGGAATCATGGAATAACAGGAGGCAGCAGCTCTACTCTTGCTGGGAGGAGTACCACATACTTTTGATTTGTGGTCTCCTGCCTGGTTCAGCTTTCTTACCTATAAGGATTTCTTAGTTCTTCTGTGATGTAGTTGAGTTGATTCCTTGGGGGGGGGGGGGAGAAAAAAGGAAGATGGGTGA